CTCTTGTGTCCCGCTCTCCGCATGGGTGCTCTGCTCTGCTCCCCACGGACGTGTCTGATGTATTGCCGCTTTTTTCTTTTTCCACATGTTGAACACAGACACACGCTAGGAAGGAAAGCAAACAAACGCGAAACGCTACTGTGAGATTCGAAGGCACTGAAAGCACCAACAGCACACACACCGCCCACCCACACCTACTTACATGATCTCACGTGTTGCTGCAGTCATGGCACCCAACAAACACAACCGTCGCCGCATGACCGGATCCAGCGGAAGGAGGAGGGAAGGAGGAGAGAGTGAGCCGCAGAGACCCAACATGTCCCGGCATGTGTTTACTTCCGCGGTGCTGCTCCTCGTCGTGATGATGTGCTGCGGCACCTGTGGAGCCGCGGCCGCTGGAGGGAATAATGGGAAGAGTGATTTAATAAATATTCATAAGCTGCAGGGAGTCGATCTATTTGTGCCGCAGACGATGCTGGTGCGGCCGAAAGGGGGGACTTCTCCAGAAATGAAGTTGGATTCCTTTGTTACACCCTCTCTCGTCAGTGCTGGTGGAGTAATTGCGGCTTTTGCCGAAGGTCACGAAAACGTCCGAAAAGACAATGACCAATCAATCAGGCACTTTTACTCTGATGTTGTTGCGGGGTACATTGACTCTGCGTGGAACTGGACCACTCTTGTTGACAAGGTCAATCAGAGCTCATGGAGGGCACACACCGTGCTTACTGCAGCGAATGGAAAGAAACGTTTGGATGATATGCTTAACCCCACAACAATTGCGAAGGGCAATAAGGTGTTTCTTCTTGTGGAAAGCCCTGGTTTGTCCCCTGTCAACGATAATTCGTTTTTGGATAGATTGGACCTGACACTGGTTGTGGGCACTGTCACGAATTCTACGGGCGGCGAGCCGAGTAAACGGATTGAATGGGGTGCGCCCAAATTGCTTTTAAGCATGAACATTTCCGCTGCTTCTGACGAAAGTGAATTGAGGAGTGTTTTTCCATCTGGTGGCTCAGGTGTTCTGATGGACAATGGCACGCTCGTGTTTCCCGTGGTTACGTTTGGTGATGATGACGGTTTATCCATGATCATTTATTCGACGGACGACGGCGCAAACTGGGTGTTTTCAAAT